TGCTGGTACATTTGCTGGTTTGCATATATCCACACTTGTACATCCAGTGTACTCAAAGGAGTATTTGTTTGGAGGATACTCAGAGAATATATTTCCTTGTGCTGGACAACAAGTTGAAGAACGCACATGCTTCCCTCCAGAGGTAAAGCGTGGTCCGGGGAGACAGAAGAAATCAAGATGGCAATCTTGGTTGGAGCTAATCTAGGATGAAAGGACGCAAACCCCGGAAGCAACACAGGGTTTATAGATGCTTAAACTGCAAGGAAACTGGCCATACGAAACCACAATGTAAGAATCAGGTTGATTAGTCGTTCAGACGACCTATAATTAAGTCGTCTAGTGTTGATTAGTCGTCCATACGGCCTATAGTTAAGTCTTCTAGTGTTGTTTAGTCGTTCAGACGACCTATAATTAAGTCGTCTAGTGTTGTTAAGTCGTCCATGGTTACCTTGTCCTCTGGACGACTTAAAGTTAAGTCTTCTAGTGTTGTTTAGTCGTTCAGACGACCTATAATTAAGTCGTCTAGTGTTGTTAAGTCGTCCATGGTTACCTTGTTCTCTGGACGACTTAAAGTTAAGTCTTCTAGTGTTGTTTAGTCGTTCAGACGACCTATAATTAAGTCGTCTAGTGTTGTTAAGTCGTCCATGGTTACCTAGTCCTCTGGACGACTTAAATTTAAGTCTTCTAGTGTTTTGTCAAATTGCACAACCAAAAGATTATAAGACGACTTAATTTTAAGAATTTTAATGTACAACAACGCAACATACAACAAGCATCCTAAACATCAGCCTAATCAAGTTCGAATAAAAACATACAATACAAACATCAGCCTTCATAAGTACCAATCTCGTCAAAATTATCCTTGTTTTCATACAAATGCGGGAGAGTGAGCTCATTATATATATCCACAGCCATCTTATCCCTAATATTCTTCACGTGCGCGTCGTTCTTAGCAAAATATTTTGGATTAAATGACAGCCCAAGAGCATGACATTCAATGTATTTTAGAGCGTACACGCCACAATCACCACTTCAGGCCTGAGGAACATTGCTTGCACGTTCAAATGTGAATGGCTCCAGAGAGTATAGCTCATCGGCACTAGAGCACTCAACAAGCAGATAAGGAACCATGTGCAGAAAATGCTCCATTAGCAGTTCGAGTCTTGCGTCGGAGATACAAGTTACGATGCTGTCCCAGACGACTATGTGTCTCTTAGGGATCAATATTCACATAGCAACCCAAAGCTCGTCCTTGTAGTTCACTGGCGCATATATATCATCAATATCCACCCCCCCCCCACAACTTCAATGACTTGAAAAATGATGGTACAGTGCTGTCATAATAGTTAAACGCTCCACCAGGGAGTTTTCTTCCCAAATCGTTGGGAGCAGGAGAAGATTCCTTAAAGACTTTGTAGCTGGCACTCCATTGCTGAGCAAAGAGATGATCAAGGAAGCAAAGCCTCTCGCTCCTGAACGCTTGTGGATGTTCAGCGTACCTCTTCCTCAGCACATTAATCCACGCATCAATGTGCTGCATTTAGAATAAAACAACTCAGAAGATATCAGACGACTTAACAGACGACTTAATGGTAAGTCGTCTTGTAAGTATTCTACGTAGACGACTTAACAGACGACTTACCATTATAGTCAGAAGATACACTTACACAGTCATGCAGCCAAGATAAGGAGGCTCGGAGGATGTAATACCACTTAGTTGGCGCTGTACGTGGTTTATCGTCCAAAGGTGTGTCATACCAGCTGCAAACACAAAATGTTCAGTCAGAAATCAGTTTTGTAGACTAAAAAGCAAGCTATTATGGATCACTTACGGATCAGTTTTCAACCAATCAGCGAGCTGCTTCAGTTTGGTCTTGTTAACTGATCCAAACGGATTATAGACTGGAGCCTTTTTGGAAGCGATGTTGGCCTTTTTGCTTCGACTTTGGCCTTTTTGGTTTGGGTTTGGAATGATCACTTTGGCCGTGCTGTTTGTTGTATAAGGAGATTGTTGTGAGGCAGCAAGAGTCCTTTCTCGCACACTCTTGGCACGTCTAACTTGTTCCAAACCGGCTTCCCTCTTTTGCTCATATCTTACTCGCTCCTTCACTCGATCTGATGCAGTGGGTTGGTGTTTTTCCAAGATTTTGAAGCTCGGGTCTGGATCTGGAAGGCTGGATGAAAGCTTGGATGGACGGCTGGATGGAAGGTTGGATGGAAGGTTGGATGGAAGGTTGGATGGAAGGCTCGGTTCTGGAGGTTTTTCCTGGCAAGGAACTATACTCAGCTCTTTCGAGGCAGTGGCACCTGCGGACAAATCCGTTGCTTCACCCCTCTTCGGCAAGCTCTTCTTCCCCTCGTTCGACCCATTAAAACTTTCACATTACCCTTCAGTTTGACCCGTACTCTTTTTTTGTTCTTTTCTGGTGACACCAAGGATTTTCTCCACAGCTTCCACCCTTTCAGACAGATACTTGATCTCCGTAAGGCACGTCCCAAACCCTTGACTCATGGCATCGAGTACATCCTTCAAAGAATCTTTCAAAGAATCCTTCACGATTCTTTCAACATCCTCTTTGGTCAACCCACCAACGTTGGGTCTTGCTCTCTCTTCCTTCAAAGAATCTTTCAAAGCATCCTTCACGATTCTTTCAACGTCCTCTTTGGTCAACCCACCAACGTCCTCTTTGGTCAGCCCACCAACGTTCAGTCTGACCTCAGCCTCTTCCTCAACTTTCTCTGCATGAACCTCTTGCTCTTCCTCTTCATCTAACAACTCTATACGCTCTGTACGAACTTTCTTAAGAGGTCTTGGACTCTCTTCCTTCACCAGAACTATCGCTTTCTTCCTTTTCTTTCCTACCGGCCTTGTATCTCCAAGTACCGGTGACTTCCCAGCAATCCATGGTCCACTTCCATGGTTTCTTTACGTACATGAGTTTAATTATGTTCTCCGCGGCCGAATCATCAGCATCAGAGTCCCATTTCGGAAACATTTCAGCCATGCTCTTCTTCTCAACAAAGTTCATAGCACTAATCTGCAGTAAATAGAAGATATAAACTTAGATATTTGACGGATTAAGAAATATGGAAAGAAAAGAATTCGCAGAAAAACTTATGATTAAGTCGTCTGGAAAGTCGTCCGACTGGACGACTTAAAAATAAGTCGTCTG